CTGATGCTCTGTCTCTTCCACAGCGGAAGGGTAAAACTTTGTGTGTAATGATATAGACAGGTCTGTTGGTAGGGTTTATGTTCGATGTGTTAAAAAACGTCCAGTAATCCGGCAACCTCCCACTACTGCAGTGCATGTTTCATGCACTCGGCATGCTGTTTGCGGGAGCATCGGAAACGTCCAGCTACATTTTCCCCTTGGTGCCACACGCAGCAACATCGGACCTACCAGGGGAGAAGACGTACAGTCAGGATGAGGCGATTCTATTCTGGGAAAAGTTTGACGAACGAAACGCAAAATGAAGAACCGGCGGCTAAGAGAGTTCGCGGCCGTCCGAATGTATCAAAGTATATTAATGACGTTATCACAGAAGTGTCAGATCGCGTCGCCAAGGCTAGTTAGTGCCCCGCTGCCTCCTGATACGACTACTGGATTGACGAGTCATTCGCTCCGCCGCGGCTCTGCTGCGTACGCCAATGCGTCCCACAAGTTAGCCATCCAATGGATATCAACACGTGGGGCTTGGCTGCTGGACTCGCTGTCAAAAGTTTTCGCCTATGTTGGCACGACGACCCGAGAGGACCAGAGCGTTCGAAAGGTCCTTGCAGGCTACAGCGACCGCACCATCCCTGCGCGACTCCAACCATCCAGACATTGGCGGAGCTTTTGCCAGCGCTATAGTACGCGCAGCTTTTGTCGTTCCGTAGTCAGCTCTTCAAGAATGTCAGTGGGTTTACCGACGTGAGTCTCAACGTGGATGCTCGTGTGCTTGATGCTGTAATGGCGTCTCTGCTCATACACTTGGAAGAAGTGTCCGCAGCTGTGACGAAGCAGCAATCCGTCACCGGCTACACATCGTACTATATCTACCGTTTCTATGTCGCATTAGACGACACCAATGCTGCTCTCGGCTCTGGACTGACACTGGCGAGTTGCATTGCGTGGGGGCGGCAGCTACGGACGACGTGGGAGACGGACAACTTCGTGCAGCTGGGCGGGAGCTGCGGTGGCGACATAGCAGTCTTAGCATCGGGCGTCACACAGATGCTAGCCTCTATCTCGACAATGCAGCGAACCTTGACCAAGATGGTCGCCCTCCAGGAACGGAAGGACGACCACGTTGAAGTGGCCCCAGCGGCAGCTCAAGCATACGTGACACCACCCCCCACGGCGGCAATGAACAGCAGCAACATCATCGCGGAGGCGCACTCGCTAGCAGGGTGCTTCTACAATTGGTACACGATGCAGTTATGGCATACAGCAACGCGAAAAAAGCAACAGTTTGTGCGGGCGGACCTCAAAGCCTGCATTAACATCATGATTATCTCGGCTGGAAAAGATATCACTGTACCTGCACAGCCACTTGACCGCGGTGGGGAATCGTATCGCCTCTGGATGCAGTCACTGTGGTCGCTCGCGGAGAACCTCGACAAAAAGACGCACGAGGCTATGAGAATCTTGGACAGCAAGGGTCGATGCGAAACGGCAGATTCTCTTCGAAAGCGCTGGAGGGTTCTGCGTCTCGAAAATCGTGCAGCCTACGACGCTCTGTGCTCAGCTTATAGCCTGCGTAAGGCAAACAACAGCATAGCAGATCATTGTACCCCCGAGAGTCACCAGTGGCAAGCCAAAGACTTAAAGAAATAGGTCAGTAACTAGTAGGCAGACTCCATATATGTTCATACATATAAAAAACTGGCAGCTGGAATCGGACCAGCATTCTCCCAGCTATCGCATGGGCGCTTTACCAATCAGCCATACCAGTAAAATGCTCACACTTCGCTCCACCACGGCTAACTGATTGCGCCTATTTGAAATCGCCACCACATCACAGTGTCATTAGCTCCACCCGCACGAAAACCCCAAATCACTTGAGTACCACGCATACTTACGTTCAGATCGCAGAAATGGCAGCATATCCCCACCCTGCCGGGTGTAAGTGGCTACATCTGGGGGTTCGTCTAGCGGCGGCGGTTGCCGGCTCCTTCGCAGTTGTCCGGGGATGTCAGCGGCGTGAGGCTTCCCCTAGCTGTACGGCCTTCGAGATGCTCGGTGCGAAAGAGGGTGAATGCCACGACCACTTGAAAAAAACCTTAAGGTTTTACATCTGTTGGGAACCGATAATACAGGCATACTTTGGCTAAGTGATTTGGAACGCTGCTTCACGATTGGCTCGACTGTTTTTGGACCGAGCTTGGGAACTCGTCGATTACTGTAAACCGTTCGCACTTCACTTGCAAGTCGAATGCAGTCGAGGTAGCATATATTTTGTCTGGTAAGTTACCAGACATCAAATTACACTGGAAAAAAAACACTAAGATATTGTTATACGTGTTGTAGGTCCCTGCCAGAGATACATTTCGTACACTGACAGCCATCAATATGCATTTCCTGCGTCAAATAGGACCGTGGCGCCGTGTCTCGAACTGATGTGGCCTTTTTTTTTCAAACAGCTCGAAATTTGAGTTGCTTTCACGAATTTCGCGTCGAGTAATATGCAATACTCGACGCCCACGTGATCGTCATGGTATTGGTCACTTCGTCAACAAAACGACCCAAAAGCAAACTCATTTTTTTAATTGTTGAAACAACGATGCCACGCTGGGCGAGTTCGAAGTGCCCTGTTCCAGTCGTCGCAGCCATTTTTGACATGACGACAGCGAAAACGTCCTTCTCGACAAAGTCGAAGGTCTTGCCGTGGGTAGATGTTGATATACCAGCAAATACCCAAGCCCACAAGTCATCTCGCGGACAGGATCATGAGCGATGAGTTCAACGACGAAGGTCTAACGCTTGAGGCTGGAGCAGACCACCTCTGGGCCGCAATTGGGAAGTCCGACGGTGTGAACGCTGCGTTGGAAATCTACGCCATCAATGTGACCTCGACCGAATGCGACGGGGACGACTGCTACTTCTACATCGAATCGGACATCGCCGAGAAGAATATCACCGTCTGGAACGACTACATCTCACCTCCTGGGTACGAGAACGTATCCTTCTACTATCGCGCAGCTATGGTGCAGGGCTGGAACAAGTTCTGTTTTCAATGAGGGCTGGTTGTTGTGCGTGCCCAGCTACCCGGCGTCGTTGGAAAGGACTCAGGGAATCCGGACCTCGTCAACGTCACGAAAACCACTCGAGCTGAAAGCATTGACTACTATCCTACCTGTCCTGGCATCTGGATCTTCAGGACCCAGGCGCATGCTATCTTCACGGGCTCGACAGCTCGCATTTGGCCGTTATCGTATAACGAGTGCAACGAGACTGTCTTTGACTCCCAAAACCAGCGCATCAGTGCGTGCGACTCCAATCCTGGTTCAAGAATGAATCCGTACCAAGGTCGTGGTGCTCCGGAGATCGATATTCTATAAGGTGGCGGCACCGAGATTTCCTCGTCCATGCCCGGCATGCCCGATGGGTTTCGACAATTGCCTGACAAAGCGTCTCCGTCTTGCATTTACGGATACAAATGTACAACTGTCGGCGCAAACAACCCAGACGTGCCGATTCCGTTGTATGAAGATATTCGCGGGTACAAGTCGTGGTACCAGGGAATGCGTTATGGTGCTAATAATCTGTGCGCTTCTGAAAGCGAGGAACTCCAAACATTTGCCAAGATCAATGCATCACTCACAGAGAGCATCACGGAAAACGCGTGTACGATTGACGTCTGCCCGGCATCATTCGACGTGAACTCGGATCTTGGATTCATGGACAACAGCACGGACCATTGGGGAGTCAACTCCAATGGTACTTGCTTCCCACGCATGAACGCCTACAATGGAGCCTACGTGTGTGATGCGGGAAACAAAGCGTCGAAGTGCACGGAGTCCGGAGGTTCCACCAGCGCGGCATCTTCCTTCATGTATCAAATGGATGCTCTCTCTTCAAATTGGAGCATTCACCTGGCCACGTACGTCGAATGGGTCACATACGCCGTTGAGGGGTCCCTGGTGACGACGGCTACGTTCGCTGGGAAGTAGAAGGGCACCCGATCTACGAAATCCCTGCCGCTACAGTAACCAACCCGCCGCAAGATGCCGCGCAAAGGAATCCCAGGCAACTCATGATCGAAGAGCCCGTGTACGTTATATTCCAAGTCACACTTTCGAGCTCGTGAGGGTGGGGGGGGGGGGGGGGGGGGGGGGGGGGGGGGGGGGGGGGGGGGGGGGGGGGGGGGGGGGGGGGGGGGGGGGGGGGGGGGGGGGGGGGGGGGGGGGGGGGGGGGGGGG